CCCCAGATACAGACATTCACACACATTCACACCCATATTCACACAAACACACGCACACCACACACCACACAAACATTCACCCACACACACAAGCCACAAACATTCACACACGCACACACGCACACACACATTCGCACGCACACTCGCTCACACACCACACACACTCACACACACTCACACACACACACTCACACCCACATTCACACACAGACACACACCACACACATACACACGCGCACAAATTACACACACACCCACACATATTCACACACCACACATACACTCACACACACACACCAGACACACACTCACACAAACACATTCACACACACACACGCCCACACAGACCACACACCACACACAACACACACACACACATCCACACGCAAATTCACACACACACACACACCACAAACCAAACACACTACACAGACATTCGCCCACACATTCACACACACGCACATTCACACACGCGCACACCACCCACACCACACGCACGCATTCACCCACACCATGCACACTCACACACACACACATTCACACACACACCACACTCATTCACACACGCACACTACACACATGCACACACACACATTCACACACCACACACATACGCACACCGCAGACATTCACGCACATTCACACACCACACACGCACACACGCATACACATTCGCACACACACACACACATTCACACACCACACACACATTCACACACATTCACACACCACACACAGACACACGATCACACACAAACATATGTATACGTATGTATATCTGTCATACATATGTATAGGTATCTTCCTACATATGCCCATGTACAGGATGCTGATGCTGCTGATGATGATGACCATGATGCAAGGTGATTATGCTGATGCTGCTGATGATGATGAAGATGATGAGGATGAGGATGATGATGATGATGATGATGATGATGATGATGATGACGACGGTGATGACGATGATGATGCTGATGCTGATGCTGATGCTGGTGCTGGTGCTGATGCTGCTGATGATGATGCTGATGATGCTGATGATGATGCTGGTGGAGCACCTTCTCAGGATGTCTCGAGCGAGGCGCGGGATTCAGCACCCCCAAGGGGGAGCCGCCAGGGGGTATCTCACTCCTCCGTTCGCGCCAAAATAGCCGGGATTTCTCGAGCGGTTTGCCTGTTTGCATGCGCGAGACCCTTCGCTTTCGGAGCTTGTCATTTTTTTTTTTTTTTTTTTTTTATTTTTTTTTTGTTTGTTTTTTTTTTTTTTTTTTTTTTTTTTTTCTTTTTATTTTCGGAGCAGATGCTGAGGATGGCTCGAGCGAGGCGCTCGTTTCCACCCCCAAGCGGGGACAGAATTTGAGGATGTCTCGATCGGTTTGCTTGTTTTGGTGGCCAGACTCGTGGGCACGGATCCTCCCCAGGATGCCACAGGAGGCTCCAGGAGGCCCCAGGAAAATTCAAGAGGCCTCAGGATGCCCCAAGAGGCTCCAGGAGGCTCCAGGAACCTCCAGAAGGCCTCAGGAGGCTCCAGGATGCTCCAGGAGACCACAGGAAGCCACAGGAGGTCCCAGAAGGCCACAGGAAGCGCCAGGGAGGCACCAGGAGGCTTCAAGGGGTTCGAGGAGTAGGAGGCCTCAAAAGGCCACAGTAGTGGCTCCAATCCCATGTATGCTCCTATTGATGGGGCCTCCCCTGGAGCGTCCAATCCTCAGTGTTTTACGACTGTTCCTATGGATTGGGCCTCCTCTGGGGCACGAGTCCTTGGTGTTTCACGTGTGCTCCTATAGATTGCCCTTCTCCTGTGGCTCCAATCCGTAGTATTTTGTCAACGTCTGTTCCTATAGACTGGGCCTCTCCTAGGGCACGAATCCTCTCCAGGAGGCCCGAGGAGGCCACACGAGTCCCCAGGAGGCTCCAGGAAGCCCCAGGAGGTTTCAGGAGGCCCCAGGGGCCCCAGGCTTATGCGCATAGGCGCGCTCGTACTACTGAGACTCATTCACGCTCCAACTGCTCCCAGACCGTCAATACTCAAGCCTCGACAGTTCTTGCGCCTAGACACTCACGGCGGACAGGTCCACGCTAATTGATGCACACATTGGGAGCTCCACGCAGTGAATCATTTTAGAAGCGGGGGGGGAGGGAAAAACGATCCCCCCTCAAAAGCGAAGAACAACGTTGTGGGATCCGGGGCTTTGGGCCCCTCCGTTGCGCCCTCCGGAGAGGTCCCCCAGCCCTGCCGCGCCTCGCCAGGCGCCCTGCGAGGCCTTGCCCAGCAGGCCCCAAGCGATCGGAGAAGAGGTCGAAGAGGTACAGAGAGAGTCCCGAGGCAGTGCAAGACGGCCTCAAGACGGCCCACGAGGCCTCCGAGATGGCCCAAGAGGCCCCCACTTCGCCTCAAAAGGCCTTCAGGAGGGCCCCCGGGCCCCAAGAGGCATACATCCTCCCATTCCCTCGGACATCTTCAGCATATTCGCTTTCTGAGTCGTAGCAGCGTTCACGACGGCCCAAGAGGCCTCCGAGATCGCCCCAAGCTCAAGAGGCCCCCAAGAGGGCTTCAAGACAGTCCAAGAGGGCCCCAAGACTTTCCCAAGACGGCCCCAAAGAAGCTCACGACCTGCCTCCGCCCGCCCTCCTCTTTGCCTCCTCCCCCCCTCCCCTGCTTCCTTGCCTCCTCCGACCGCGTCCGCCCTCCCCCCCCGCCCCCTCCGGGCCAAGCCTTAAGTCGGGCCTGTCCCCCTACAGGGGGATTTTCGACGAAAAATGAAAAATACCCCCGAAATAATAAACAATATAGTCACATAATAGTCTGGGGGCTATTTTTTGCATATGTTTCGACCTTTTTGGGGTATTTTTGGTGGATGGTTTGTCTTTCGTCGACGATCGCCTCGTCTGGGGGGCGGGCCCGACATGAGCCACGCCCTGGTCTCCTGGTCGTTCACAGGCGCTCCTGGACCTCTACACGATCCTGGACGAGCTCCCGGGGGTCGGCGCCGCCGATGCGGCCTCGTCCGAGGTGGCCCTGGCGTCGGCGCTCCGCGGCAGGGTCGTCACGATGGTGGGCGATCCCCTCGGGGGGCGAAGCTCCTGGACGCCCTGTCGCAGGGGCGGCGGGGAGGCGGGGGGGGGAGGGAGGAGGGAAAGGAGAGGAGGGCGCGGGGGGGGAGCGGGGGGAGGGGAGGGAGGGAG